GCTTTCGCACGTCGTCTCCGTCGTCGCCTTCCAACGTATTGTCGATCAGGAAAAACTCTGGGGCGACATTCTTATATTCTCCTTCACACAAGATCTTGTTGATTCTATTTTGTACGCCGTTGCCTTGCACCTTATCATTGTTAGTTAAGGCTATTAAAACTGGTGGCGGTTCAAACTTCTCACCTTTTGCAGTGGTAATGTGACCAGATTTATCAGAAAACTGTTCATCTTGGCATTCTCCTAAACCTTGTAGAAACTTCAACCATGATGTAAAATGATCTAAATTGGTATTAAGATGAGGATTCTTCATTTCTATCTCTTCCTCTTCCTCACTTGCTTTAAACCTGGGAACGGCGGGTTCATCAAACACCAGAGAAACGTCATGAACCAAAACACAAGGGCAATGCGGTTTCACAAAGCAGCCATGGGTATCGTAATAGATTGATTGTCCAGCAAAGTCAATTACAAATACCCGAAGAACTTCGTTCTGATCGTGTTCAGTGGATCTTTGCAATTTGATTAAGGAGACTTCTTTTGTTGATAGTGCCTTCACTGGCAACGGCTTCACCGGCATCACTGGCTTCAATGGTTCTGGCGCATCCCTTTCTAAGTTCCTCCGAACTCGTGTATGAAGGTACTCGGTTCCCTGGTCGTGTTCAGTGGACCTCTGCGATTTGATTTTGAAAATTTCTTCTTCTCCTACTAATTTCCTTCTATTCACTGGCTTCACTAATTCTTCTGAAGTCGTCTGACGCCCGCTATCAATACACTCGACAGTTTTTTTGTATAACACAGTATTTGCCTCGCTTTCACTGGTCAGAAACTTCTCTTCTATCGTTTCCCAGGGATCTTCCGCATTTTGTTCTGTTAGCTCGATAACATTAACGTCAATACCAGTGGTACTGGGTTCATCTTTGTTGAATTTTAATCCTAAAAGACGTTTCATCAGCGACGTCTTTCCACTTCGGCCTTGCCCAATCAGCATAATCGGAATTCGATTATTTTTTGCTTCACCTTCTTGGAGAGCTTGCGAATATGCACGTCTGTATTCTTCTTCTTCAATATCTTGAAAAACTAAAGTTAAAACAAGATTTAGCACTACGTAAAATGAATCATAACCTCTATTAAATGGCCCTCTTTTAAGCGTCCCCCTTACCAAGCGCCCTGCCCTAAACGCGTAAGATATTTTTTTGAAGTTTTTAAAACAAAAATATCGAATTTTTGCTTTTTAAAACAACACTCTGTATATGTTCATTGTAGAGGATGAAAGGGTATTGGCAATAAATTTTTTTTATTGCTTTATCTGAAAGAGCATGACAAAATAAGCCGATTGGCCGTTTACTGCCCTATTCTATCTCATCTGGTTCCGAAGTTATACGCAAAAATGTGCAAAATATAAATTGCTGATTCAGCACAACGTGTGACGTCATTGGTTGGGTAAGTATGTTTATTTAATAGTAAACTGAAGCATAGCTCAGTTATTATTGGCTCAAATCAAATGAAATTTTGGATACAGATAGTACGCTATGAGACGCATGGGAAAATTCTTCTAATTTAGTTGTCAATGCAACACAGTCGTTCCCAGATCCCTTACTCTGATTTTGAATAACTAGTTGCATTCGAGGTTGCATTTATCTATGTGTATGTCATTTTCGAATTATTATCATGCAAGTAAACTTTTGGCATGCATAGGTATGGTACACATACTTCTGATATTACTTTACTCTTATAAGTAGCATGAATAAAGCTGTTTTATAAAATTGGCGCAATGGGCCTGGGAACGACGTTGTTACCTTGGCAACAAAATTGGAAGCGTTTTTCAATGCGTCTCATCATGTACAATCAATATGCAAAATTTCATTTGATTTGGGTCCATAATAACTGAACTATGCGTCAGTTTAGTATTCATTAAACATACTTACCCAAACCAATAACGTCACACTTTGTGCTGAATCGGCAACTTATATTTTGCACATTTTTGCGTATAACTTCGGAACTAGATGAGATAGAATAGAGCATTAAACGGCCAATCGGCTTATTTTCCCATGGTCTTTCAGATGCAGCAATAAAATGTTTTGTTGCCAATACATTAATTAAACAACATTTTTAACAACTTGTTCATAGTGGGCAACACAACTTTCCTGTTGATATCACTGATCTAGAAATATTCGATATCAACTGAATTAAGTTGTTGATTTTACACCTGTACACATATTATATAGAGGACAATAGTAAAACCATGGCAACAACATTCCAGATGTGGTATTTGATGTTTCTGTACTTGTGATTTTGAAAGGCATTTGAGAGCGTTTAGGTTTTTAGAAGTGTGACCCAATCCCCCCATTTCACAATCAGCGAGGCGGCGAATGCTCTCACTTGTTTCCGAAACAATGTGCTAGATTTAAACCAGTGCCCTGCATGACGGTTTATAATCAATAGCAATGTTTGGAGTGGTTGATAATCTATGGCAATGGCAATTTAATCTCTATATAAACAGATGCTGCAAATCTTGTCAAATACTTATAGTTATGTTATAGTTTATGGGAATTGACAGTGTAGGTATCAGGTATGTAAACAATGATTTCGATTATAGGACCTCGATAGTCGATACATTTTGTTGATCTGTATCAATTAAAGGGTATTGGCAACAAAACATTTTATTGCTTCGTCTGAAAGAGCATGAAAAAATAAGGCGATATCGTATGCTCGTATGGAGTCCATGACAATGAACTTCTATGGTTCACTGACTATCTATTTGGGAGACAACAGTATGTCCAGGTAGGGAAAGGTACGTCGAGCATGCAATCAATATACAGTGGAGTACCTCAAGGATCAATTTTGGGGCCGGTGCTGTTTAACCTGTATTTTAATGACTTTGCAGATCATCTGTTGAAAACAAATGTCTTAATGTATGCTGATGATACTGTTATTTACCGTGCTGGAAAGGATATTGAGACTATATAGAAAATGTGTTGACAAAAGAATTGAAACAGGTGGCAAGATATTTTGATGAAAATCAGATGGTGATCAACTTGAAGAAAGATAAAACAGAGGTAATGCTATCTGGAACGGCCAAAAGACGTTCATTGCAGAATAATAATTATATATTACGTATCGAGGTGTACCAATAAATAACACCAATGAATATACCTATCTTGGTTATACACTGGATAACAGTCTTGCGTTGAAAGTTTGCTTTGATATTGCTTATAAAACGTGCTGCAATCGCCTGAAGCTCTTATCCAAATTAAGACAACATGTAAGCTCGGACGCTACAAATAGGATATAACAGTCTATGATTCTCCCAGTTGTTACGTACTCTGGGCTTTTGGAACTTCAGTTCACGAAGACCCAGACGTACAGGTTTCAATCAATTAAACGTCGCGCGGAAAACATCATTGCTCCAGACGAACATGGTCAAATGCCTTCTATTATCAAGATATTACATAAACAGTCATGTAGTATTGTAAGGAAATGTTTAGACAATCGGATGTGTACCAACTTTGATAACTATTTCAAAAGTTTAACTGGTGGTATCAATACAAGGAACAATAATTTTTTTCTAAAACCACCCAAAATAAAGTTAGAGTTTGCGAAACAATCATTTTATTATTTGGGTGCAAAAATCTATAATGATTTGCCAATCGAAATAAGACGAGAAGGAGATTATGACCTAATTTTTAAGTTTTTGAAAGACTTTTGTAATGGGTAGACTGAATAATAGTTTTTGAACTAACTTATTTTATATCTATTTTATTGCTTGTATCTTAAATTTAGAATTAGAAAGGGCAAATATTGATAACAGTGTCTGTGTGC